TATATATATATATATATATATATATAGATACATATACAAATATATAATAAATATACAATATATAATAAATATACAATATATATATAATGTATGCAAGTGCACCTGTATATACACATATATGTAGCAATGCATACTGAGATCGTATGCATGCATATTATGCATGTATAGATATTCATAAATACAAATATAATATATATATAAATATAAATATATATATATATATATATATTTGTCTGTTAGATATATAAACATGCAGATATTTATATATAACTGTACATACGTCTCTATACTGTTACATATATATATATATATATAAACAGCACGTCTATACCTTTGTGTATTTGTCTCTTTGTTGATGTTTATTTATTATTTATTTATTATTAATTAATTAATTAATTTATTAATTAATTAATATATTTATTAATATATTTATTAATATATATTTATTTACCCTTGAGGCCGACAGTGTCTTCGCGTTCCCCAAACTTAATTCTATTTAACTGCTTCTGAATTTCTGACACTTCTTGCTGCTCTTTTTGTCTCCGGTGTCTCCTCCCGCCTCTTTTAGGTTTAGACCGCTCCTCAGGAATAGGTAATGCCTTCTTCATTGGAGCAGGAGGGGGTTCTTGGGCCTGAGTTCAAACCCTAAACCCTAAACCCTAAACCCTAAACCCTAGGCTTTTGAATGCGCTGCTCTACAATGCGTGAGAGCCGCATATAAAACCTTAATCAATGTATACAGCAAACACTTGTTATATTTCAGCATCCTTCTTCCCCCATAGATCAAGGTTTAGGGTTTAGGGTTTAGGGTTTGCACCTTCATTAGAGCCTGAACAATGCCTTCTCTCAGGGCTTTGCCGAGCTCTCCTGGGGTCTTAGAATTTTCTGCTGCTCCTAAACCGTCGTTCAACTCTTTAGCAGCAGCAGCAGCAGCAGCAGCAGCAGCTTCTTCATCTCCTCCATCCGCTTCGGCCTCCCCCGCAGCAGCCGCAGCAGCAGCAGCAGCAGCAGCAGCAGCAGCAGCGGGCTTGTTGCCGTACACATCTACTCTTGCTGCCAGCCCTACCTTCCCAGCTAGCAATCTTAAAGCTCTCTTTCTAAATGCAGGAGGAGACAATAAAACAATATCGCAAGAACATAACAACGAAGAGAATATCCCTGCTGCATCTCCTCGAGTTGAAAGAGATACGCTGCCTCGCTTTTGAGATCCAACCAGCTGAAACACACACCAATATCCTAGGGTTTAGGGTTTAGGGTTTACGGTTTTGGGGTTAAGGTTTTAAGTTCAGGGAAAAAGGGCATACAGATGGGGTTCTAGGGTTTTTTTAGCGTCGGGGGTTTAGGGTTTAGGGTTTAGGGTTTGGAGATTAGAGTTCAGGGTTCTGTTTGCTTTATCAGGGTTTAGGGTTTAGGGTTTCATTTGCTTTATCAGGGCTTAGGGTTTAGGGTTTCATTTGCTTTATCAGGCTTCAGAGTTTAGGGTTTAGTTGGATAAATCAGGGTTTAGGGTTTAGGGTTTAGGGTTGATACCATGATATTTTGTGCAGGCATCTTCGCTAGGGTTTCTAAACCCCCTACTTTTGTCAGCAAACGCGCAGTCAGCGCTGCGCCCAACAGCGATGAGACATTTGGAGCCACCAGCATCATCCTACTCTCCAAATATTGCAACACCTGATCCGCAAACCCTAAACCCTAAACCCTAAACCCTAAACCCTAAACCCTAAACCCTTGACCCTAAGCCCTTGACCCTAAACCCTTAAGTCTAAACCCTAAACCCTAAACCCTTAAGTCTAAACCCTAAACCCTTAAGTCTAAAATCTAAGGTCTGAAGTCTGAAGACTAAAGTATAAAGTCTAAAGCCCTAAAACCCTAAACCCTAAACCCTAAACCCTAAATCTGTAAAGAGGCACCCGAAATCCAAAACCCGAAACCCTAAACCCTAAACCCTAAATCCTAGATCAGGAAACTGGGTATCGGACACCGACGCGGCAAACCCTAAACCCTAAACCCTAAACCCTAAACCCTAAACCCTAAACCCTAAACCATCGCGGACCTCCTTTCGTTTCTCTGCGAGAGCCAGCGCCTCTTTTGCTGCTGCCATTGCCTTGTCTAAATCTTCTTCAGGGAGACGACGCCCTGAGCAGCAGCAAAAGCAACGCAAAAACAACTGCAATATCTGCTGCTGCAGCTGCTGTTGTTGTTGCTGCTGCTGCAAATGCTGCTCTGACGCTTGCTGCTGTGCGTCATGCATCAATAAAGCACCACTAACAGCAGCAGCAGCAGCAGCAGCAGCAACTGCAGCAGCAGCAGCAGAAAGGCGGGACAATCAACCCGCTCATCTTCCGCGCCAGCAGCAGCAACAGCAGCAGCAACAGCAGCAGCAGCAGCAACAGCAGCAGCAGCAAGACGAACCTGCATTATTTGAGTTGCCGCCAGTGCCGCTTGAAATAGAGAGAGAAGCAGCAACAGTCAGCGCCATTATCGTAGGAGACGGAAGCAAATCTGATAAGTCGACTTGAGTTAGATCCTGCAGCAGCAGCAGCAGCAGCAGCAGCAGCAGCACCAATAGCAGCAACAGAAGCATCAGCACCACCAGCAGTAAGACCAGCAGCAGCACCACCACCAGCACCAGCAGCAGCAGCAGCAGCAGCACCAGCAGCAGCAGCATCACCAGCATCACCAGCAGCAGCAGCATCAGCAGCAGCAGCAGCAGCAAGAGAGTGAGTGTGCTGACGGTCTGGTTCTGAATTCGCTGCACGACGGCGATGTATTCTAAAGGCGCCTGCACTATCGACTGCAGCTCGGGAAACTTAATGCTGTAAATGTCGCAGATAAACCGATAGACAGCCAAGATGCTGCAGCAGAGCAAGCAACGACAATAATATATATTTATTTGTTTGTTTGTTTATTTGTTTATTTGTTTGTTTGTTTATTTTTGTTTTATTTATTTTGTTTATTCTTTCGTATGCAAAGAGACGCTCCAAAGGAAATAAACAGCAAAAGACAAAGCAAGCAGCAGCAACAGAAGCAACTGCAGCAGCAACAGCAGCAGCAGCAGCAACAGCAGCAGGTTACACAGTATATGCAGCAGCTACAGCTACTGCAGCAACAGCAGCACCTCTGGATTTACTCGTACAGCAGAAACAGCCTCAACAGCACAAACAGCAGCAGCAGAAGCAGAAGCAGAAGCAGCAACAGCAGCAGCAGCAGCAACAGCAGCAGCAGCAGCAGCACGTCTCACTCTGTGTCTATATCGATGACGAGCTGGTTGCACTCTTCTATCAACGCTAACTCCTCTCCGCTAGCAACGGCAGCCTGAGGCGTCAGCTCTCTCGCTTGCTGCAGCAGCAGCAGCAGCAGCAGAGGCAGCAGCAGCAGAGGCAGCAGCAGCAGCAGAAGCAGCAATGAGAACAGATGAGGGAAGCTGCAACAGCAGCAGCAAATACCCAAGTAGAAACTTGCACGCACTCCAGCAGCAGCAGCAACACTCACAAAAGCCTAACAAAACAGCAGCAGGAACAGCAGCAACAACAGAACCAGCACAAGCAGCCCCATCAGCAGCAGTAGCAGAAGCAGCAGCAGCAGCTGCTGCTGCTGCTGCAGCAGGTGTATATACCTCTAGAAGGCGTATGAATCTGGGTTGCTGCGCGAGGCTTGAGACAACAGCAGCTGTATTGTCGCCGCTTCTTTCTTTAAAATATGCAGCAACAGCATCAACAATAGGCTCATCCTCATCATCTTCAGGGTTTGCTGCTGCTGCTGCTGCTGCTGCTGCTTCCTGCTGCTCCTCCTCGGGCTCGTCAAGCTCCTGTAAGTCGTTCAGAAATGACTCCGCTAACGTCGCCTACACACAAACAACAAGCCCTAAACCCTAAACCCTAAACCCTAAACCCTAAACACTAAACCCTAAACCCTAAACCCTTGCTACGAGCGACATGAGCAAATGGCTGAATCTGCACTGAAGCTGCCAACAGCGGAGTATGGAGCTTCTGCTGCCCATGCTGCAGCTGCTGCTGCTGTTGCTCCTGCTGCTGTTGCTGCTGTTGCTGCTGCTGCTGCTTTAGGGAGGGGTCCAACCATCTTCTCTCAGATGAACTGTCAACCGGAGACTGCTGCTGCTGCTGCTGCTGCTGCTGCTGCTGCCCTTGTTGGCAGCGTCGTTGCTGCAGATTATTCTGCTGATGTGGTTGCTATGATCGTCAGCGCTGCTCCCACTGCTGCTGCTGTTGCAGCTGCTGTCTCTCCTTTTGCCGATGCTGCTGCTCCTGCTGCTGCAGCTGCTGCAGCTGCCGTTGCACCTGTTGTTCTTGCTGCTTCTGCTGCTGCTGCTCGTGCTTCCGCTGATGCAGCTGTTGTTGCGTTTGTGCTGCTGTTTTTGCTGCTGTTGCTGCCGACACAGTGTGAACAGCGCCTAGCAACAGCAGCAGCAGCAGCAGCAGCAGCAAACAGTGATGGCAGCAGCCAGTCTAGTTGCTTCAGCAGATCGAGGTCAGAAGATAATACAAAATAATAATTTAAAATTATTGCTGTAATGCGCTGCAGCAGCAGCAGCAGCAGCAGCCGCTGCTGCTGCTGCAGCAAATGTTGCTGCTGCAGCAGACAGTTGGGGCTGGAAGCGGGGGCCCCCCAGGGGCCCCCTCTCATATTTCTTTGAATTGTTTTTATTTTATAATTGATTAAATAAGTTATTTAAATTAAAAGGATGAGAGTGCTCTTATAGAATATCTGCAGCCATTAAGGGTCCCCGCTTGCTTGCTGTTGCTGCTGCTGCTGCTGTTCCTGCTGCTGCTGCTGTTCCTGCTGCTGCTGGGAACAGCGAGTGAAGAGAAGGTAATAGATATAATCTGAGTTGAGGTGTATACTCAGCCTTATCCCTAAAGACCTCTCTGCATGCATCCATCGATTTGCTTCTTCGTTTTGTTTGCTGGCGGCGTGTGGGGTAGAGAATAATATAGAGGACCAGCAGCAGGTGCTGCTGCTGCAGCCAGCAGCAGCAACAGCAGCAGCAACAACAGCAGCTGCAGCAGCAACTGCAACACCTGCTACAGCAGCAAATGAAGCTCTGCTCTAAGGTTATTACTCTCCTTTTTAAAGCTTCTGTGAATGTAGCAGTGTACCTACAGATACCCACAACAACCTCCGTAGCTAGCTGTGGCTAGCTGTAGCTAGCTGTAGCTAGTTACAGCTAGCTACGGATGGCGTTGTAGCTAGCTGTAGCTAGTTGTGGCTAGCTGTAGCTAGCTGCAACTAGCTGGGGCCTTTCGAAGCTCAAAGCCCTTCTCAGTGCAGGGGCAGCAAAAACAGGGTATCTGCGGCAGCAGCAGCAGTTGCTGCAGCAGCAGTGGCTGCTATCTTCTGACAGTGTCTTGCAATTGGCCCACGGTAGCAGCAATTGCTGCTGCTCTTGCTGCTGCTGTCCCCAGCTGTCACAGTGGTTTGCTGCTGCTGCTGCACTTGCTGCAGCGTGAAAGTCAGCAGCAGCAGCAGCCAGTGCAGCAGCAGCAGCAGCAGGTAGGTTGGTATGGTGTGCAGCAGTATACAGCAGCGGAAACCCTAAATTTAATATTAAAACCCTAAACCCTAAAACCTAAACCTGAGGTGTACGTGCAGCTCATGGGGTGTATGTCTACTACACTCTGCTTCAGCAGCTGCAGCTGCTGTTGCTGCAGCAGCTGCTGCTGCTACCTGTCTCTACACCTCACGCTTGTCTGTACTTTTAAACGTGGGTCTCCATCAGAATGCTGCTTTTCCTGCTGCTGCAGCTGCAGCAGCAGCAGCAGTTGCTGCACTTGCTACAGCTGCGTGCAGCAGCAGCCCCATTGCTGCAGCAGTTGCTGCTGCTGCTGCTGCTGTTGTCTTTGCACTCATGAAATATTTAAAGCGAAACTGAGCCGAGGAGCTCCATATCCGGCCCCACCTCTTGCTGCTGCTGCTGCTGCTGCACTGCTTCTCCTGTGAGGGTTTCTATTTCTGCTTCAACTGCAGCGAGGTCCTCAGCAGAAACAAGGTCGCCCTCCTGAGGCGTTCCTGCTGCTGCTGCTGTTGCTGCTGCTGGTTTTGCTGCTGCTGCTGCTGCTGCTTCTTCTTCTTCGTTTAAGAAGGGAAGCGAAGAGTGTAGAGGACCGAAAGCCTGCAGCAGACGCTCTGCTGCTGCTGCTCCTGCTGCTCCTCGCTGGCGCTGCTGCCGAGTTGGTGTCCCCTTTAGCAGCTCAAGCAAGTCATCTATGTTCTCGCTGCTGCTGCTGCTGCTGCTATTGCTGCTGCTGTTGCTGCTGCTGCTGCTGCTGCTGCTGCTGCTGCTGCTGTCTTTGTGTGGGTGCATGTTGCGGCTGCGGCGAGCAGCACTGTGCTCTCGTCTGTCTGCACGTGTTTGAAGTAAAGACGAGGAGACACCAAACTCCTCTAAGATGTCTCTTTCAATCAACTGCTGCTGCTGCTGCTGCTGCTGTTGCTGCTGTTGCTGCTGCTGCTGCTGCGGCGGCGGCGGCGTCCGCCTCCGCACCGCCTGTAGACGCCCTTTTACAATTGCTGCCTCATTCTCTGGATTAGGCTGCGGGGCTGAGTTCTTACGCAGCTTCTGCTGCTTCTGCTGCTGCTGCTGCTGCTGCTGCTGCTCTAGGTGGTACTGCGTAGCCAGCAGCAGCTGCGGCCCCTCCACATCTCCTGAAAAGGTGAAGGAGAGCTCAGAGGGTATATCTAACGCCTGCCACTCTGAAGCTTCTGTAGTTGCTTCTTCTTCTCTTGCTGCTGCTGCTGCTGCTGCAGCTGCTGCTGTTGATGCTGTTGCTGCTGCTGCTGTTGCTGCTGCTGCTGGTGATTCGAGTGGGGGCTGTGGTTCTGCCGCTTTCTGGGGTGTTGCTGTTGCTGCTGCTGATGGGGTGTGAGTTGTTGCTGTTGCTTTTGCTGCTGCTGCTGCTTTTGCTGCTGCTGCTGCTGCGTAAAGGGGCACTCCACGATGAGGCCGACTGAAGCTTGAGGCTGGCTTCGTGTGCAGCCACGCAGCAGCTTGTGCTGCTGCTGCTGTTGCTGCTGCTGCTGCTGCTCTACTGGGGGCCCCTGAGTGTCTAATACATACAGACCTGGACCAGCAGCAGCACAGGCTGCTGCTGGTGCTGCTGCTGTTGCTGCTGCTGCTGCTACCACTGCTATTACTGCAGCTGCTGCCGATTACAGCGGCGCTCGCCCCCCCCAGTAAACAGAGAAATGCAGAAATAATAAAACATCGAGGTAAAAAAAGAAGCTGTGGCTTCATCAATAAAAACAAAGGGTAGCTTGAGGTGTATATGCAGCTCCTTCGGGTAGGTCTGGGGGCCCCCTGGGCCCTATATCTGCAATAAACATTAAATTAATTTAAGAAAAACTTTTTAAATGAATTAATAAACAAATAACTTCTCCTTTTTATGAAGAAGATTGCAGCAAACAAAGACGCACAAAGCCCCTTACACCCTGGGGGCCCCCCTGGGGCCCCCAAAGGCTCTAGAGGTACTGAAATAATATTAATTAAACATATTCGTTTATTTATTTTTTTATATTTAATTAATTAATTAATTAATTTATTTATTTATTTATTTAGTTAGTTAGTCTGGGAGGCAGGGCTGATGGTGGTAGTTCGGAGCGTGTCTTGTCTCTTTATTATTTTTTCTTTGTTTTGTTTGTTGGGTTTGTTTTACTGAATGTACAATAATAAATAAAAGATATGTTTAGATTGAGGAGACAAGTGCTGCTGTCTCTGTCTCTGTCTCTGTCTCTGTCTCCTTGGTGCAGTTAGCTGTCTCTGTCTCTTTGCTGCAGCACTTAGGCCTTGCTGCTGCTCTACCTCGGGTGTAAGGTGTTGCTGCTGTTGTCTGTATTTATTTATTAACATTGCTGTCTCCTTGTACCTGCATGTGCAGCAACTAGCTGCTGCCTTGCTGCAACAGCTGCAGCCTCACCAACCCCTATGCATTTAAGCTGCTGCCTCCAGAGCCTTCGAAGACTGAAGGGGAGATTATCTGTCTCTTATATATACATCTACATATATATATATATATGTACATATATATTTATATATATATATACTAAACATAACAAAGGTAAGAAGTTTTAAGAGATTATTTGCTTCTTAGAACTTCTTATCTTTGTTATATTTACTTTAATTCACCTTCCCCAATTCATAAATAAATAAATAAATATATATATATATATATATATATCAATGGCTAATATAGGCAGACAAAACAAAAAAGCAAACAAAACAAACAAAACAAACAAACGAACAAAGGCGTAGACCTCAACATTATTCTGATAGAGGCTCAGCTTGCAGCTAAGATAAAGCATTGATGTGTCTTTGTAAATGTCTGTCGATAATAGAAGTTATTTTTTGTCTTTTTAAAAGAAAATTAATTATTATCAGGCCTCAAGTAAAGACGTAGCCAATGGCTGAGCACCCCACTGCATAATAACGACAAGAGTCTCCCTAGCCTTTAGCTTACAGAATTACTTTTTGTTTAATAATACATTTTAGTTAAAAGTATTATTATTAAAGAAAATATAATTCATTAAGAAGCCCTCCACTCTACTCTTCAAATAGGATTATGAACCCCACAACTCGGGGCAGTAGGGCAATATGTTTGTCTTTAGATTTACTTCGTCTTCAACAACTTATAGCTGTTAATTGCATTATCTTTATAAGTGAAGGAGGCAGACAAACTGGATCTATCTCTAAGAAATGATAACAGTCTCTTCCCCAGTATATTAGAAAGAGAAGAAATGTACAGAGAGGGCATTCTTCTTTTTTTATGTTTGTGCTGTAAACCTCAAAGAGATAAAGATTGGGCTCCGAGATTGTTCATTAACTTAGCCTTTTGTAGTCCTCTGCTAGCTGCAGCTGCAGCTGATCTTGTTGCTTATGCTGCTGCTGCTGCTGCTGCTGCTGCAGCATGTGGTGTGTGTTGATGGGAAAGGGGACGCATCTTCTGCTGGCAGTTGAAAGGGCGAGGGGGAGAATGAGGGGCCTTGAAGCCACACATATATAATATATAATATATATTATATAATATATTGTTAACATTATATGTTATTTTATATATTATATATTATATATATTATATTTCTTGCAGCGAATGAATGTTTGAATATAAACAACAAATTACTCTATGCTCCTTGTTGAAGAGCTTGCGAATCCGCTAAAACTTTACAGCCAACGCCTGAGTTAAAGGTAAATGCCTCACGTTGTGGACGGCCCTCCTGTGCTTCCCTATACACCCTTGAGGTTCTGCAAACATTACTTTAGAAATCTGCAGCTGAGCCCGCAGGCAGCCGAATGCCACCGCACAGTCCCCACGTCTAGCCAAAACAAAAAGGCGCTTCGGTGTACACCCCAAGGAGAGAGAGAGAGAGAGAGACATAGAGAGAGACAGAGAGAGAGACAGATAAAGAGACAGAGACGGAGACAGAGAGAGAGGCAGAGACAGAGGCAGAGACAGAGACAGGGACAGAGAGAGACAGATAGACAGACAGAGAGACAGAGAAACAGAGAGGCAGAGAGAGAGGAGAGTAAAGAGATGAAGTACTGCATTAGAAAGTCATGACAAACAGTGAGGGTCATCAATCAATCATCAATTAGTTGGGAAGGGTATAGTAGAGTTGCAAGTGCTGCACACGCATGCTGCTGTTGCACTCAGTTTTACTGTCTGTCTCCGGGTTGTTTGTGGTGGCCGCGTTAATATTTAATATTTATATTATCCTTGAATGCGCATCAGGAGGAGGTGCTTTCAAATGTTGAAGGTCTCTGTAAGTAATAATGAGTTGGAAATATCTATGGAGACTCTAAATGTAGTAATAATAAATTAATCTTTATACAGATCTCTCTGCTGCACCAAAACTCAAAGGGAAGAACGGCGCATATTTTTGTAAATCAATCAGCGACACCGTAAGAGCAGACTCATCCTCTGCTGAAGGCAACTACATTTAAACATGTTCTTCGAGATATCCATCAATAGCTGTTCATGAATTCTAATACTATCACATTTTGCTGTTGCAAGTGCTCGCAGCTTTTATTATTATTGTAGATTGTTGATAAGTAGAGACAGATCCCTCTCCAATAGCAGCAAGAGAAGCTGTCTGCCAGCAACATTGTTGTGAAGCCATCACCGTAGCCTTAAAAAGCATTTCTTTACAACTCGTGCAAAGCGTCTGTTGGAGTGTATAATCAGCACAGTCGTTGCTTCGTCTGGTACCCCAAGAGATCTGCTTGTATCTATGTTGCAATACCTTAATCGTTTAAGTTGCTGTGTACTGCAGCTGCGGGAGTATCCAGGGAGTCAAAATAAAGCAGCAGACAATTATCAAGGATAAGTGGAGTTGTGTTGGGGAAACAAAATATTTAACAGATAGAAGAGCCTCCCGAGAGAGAGTCGAGAGCAGCATTGGCGTTACACCGTTGGTGTGTACTTCTACACAGCTAAGTACTCAGTATCTGCAGATTTGATTGTTAATGCAGACTCTTTCTCCTGGTAGAACCGCTAATTAGTTATTTCGCTATCGAGATCTTGCAATCTCTTCTTCATCTGGATCAGGCATTCGAGAGCTGATTAACATAAACGCCATGCGGACAGCGTTGGCGTTTGTGCGTAAATAAATAAACAAACATAAAAAAACAAATATATATATATATATATATATACTGACCTACGTACATACACACACACGTACCTATATATATACAGAGAGAGAGAGAGAGAGAGAGAGAGAGAGAGAGAGAGAGAGCTCTGCTTCTCACCTACCTGATGATTCCGTTCCCCTTCCCCGAAACAGGGCAATTAGCATGCGGCTTTAATTGTTTGTCTGTTCAAAGCCTCTTCTAGTTCGACAGATTACTGCTTCTCACTTAGCAGTTGCACAGCACGCCTCTGGTGCTGAAAGACTTCCCTCTTCCTGGAGACTCCCACTGGATATAACACACATCTATAGATCTTACCACCCATCCCTGCAGCTTTGCAGCATGTTGTGTCTTGACCTGGCTGATATATGTTTCTTTACCTGCGAGCAAGCGGCCTACTGAGGGATAAGGAGCTGCTGAGTGTTGCCTGGTGCATGCATCGAAGTGAAATGGGGCTTTTTACGCATGCGAACATACTCTATTTGCATCAGGAGTTGCAGCAAAGTGCGCTTAGTTGCCAGCCAGAGGGGAAGGGCTCTCCTTCTCATCAGCCCCATTCTGCTGCTGCTGCTGCTGCTGCTGCTGCTGTGCCGCAGTCTCCCGGAGAGTAGGAGTAATATCAGCTGTATCTTTAAAACTCTTGTCTTATTTCTTTTGATTTGATTGCATCTCATCTGAGTTCTTTGCCAAGATCGATGCTCCTTCATTCTTTTTTTAAATACTTCTTTCTTACCTGCTGCGGCTTCACTTAATCTGCTGCAATATAAACAACAAACAGTGGCGTCTCCGAAAAAGAATAATTGTCTCTCAACATCTGTCCCCAACGAAAGAAGATAATTCAATGCTGCAACAACAGCCTCTGCAGCAACTAACAGTTGTTGCGGGGCAGCAGCAGCAGCAGCAGCAGCAGCTTCCCGTGTAGAATGATTATTACTTCTAGTTTGCATGCATTGTTTGCGAAATAGACATCTCAAGGTGGGGGTTAGGAAGGAGCTTTCACTGCTTCATTGATTAAAATATATCATATATATTATATATATCTGCATATAAACATATATATAGATATTATATCTATATATATACACACGCATATATATCTATAAATATATATACATAATATGCTGGGCAGAGACACGAAAGAAAGCTGCGAAAGGTAGAAGATAGCCAGACAGATATATTTTTTTGTCTCCTTCAGGCCCTGGAATCACCTCCTGCTCCCCTACTTCAAGGAGCACCAAATGGAGCAACAAATTTATGCATAATTGTTGCAGCGTCGCAGCAATAAGAAGCCTCAGACAACGCAGCAGCAACAGTAACAGCAGCAGCAGCAGCAACAACAACAGCAGCATAAGCGCACTGAGAAGGAGCGTAGGATAAAGAAACTCTTCAATATATTCCGAGGAGCGTCTTAGGCAGCAAACGCAACGAAAGATTGAAAGACAGAGTTATTAAAAAGCAGCAGATATAAGCTCCTCTTCTAACATTCAGAGCAAGAAGACACAAAAGCAAGTGGGTAGGGAGACAGCAGAAAATGAATTAAGTTGCAGCACATGCCGGAGCAGCAAATATCGCTAGGGGCCTCTGCATGCAAACACAAGCACCCCCTGTCCTGCATTTTGCCGTCTGCACCAACAGCTTAGACATTTCTTTTATTTCTGCTTGACTCCCAGCTGTCTCTTCAGCTTTAATAGAAATTATACTCTTGTTGCTGTACATGCGAGACCCTCATCTACAAAACAACAAATAAATATATTTTCAGGTGTACGTACAGCTGAAGATATTCAATCCCCCTGCAGGCTCTGACTCTATCCTGTGCCTGTTCAAGATCCCCGTTAGGGTTTAGGGTTTAGGGTTTGCATCA